CCCAAGGTCACACCGGCAGCTGCATATGGAGGAGTGGGGAATCAAACCCGGTTCTCCCGGATTAGAGTCAGTGTTCTTAACCACTATACCAAACTGGCTAAAATAAATAAAATAAAGTAAAATAAATACATTTTAAAAAATTAACCATTAAACACAATCTTAACCGTCCTGCCGTTGGGAGACCCAGGTAGCCAACATTCTCCCCATCCCCCCCCCCCCCGCTCAATCCCATTGCCGTTTATCCAGTTGTAGCATCTCTTTATATTCTTACATTGCAAAATACCACTAGCTTCTCCCTCTCTCAGCTTCTGTGCCAAAAGTGTTTGAGGAGGAGGCACTCAGGAGGAGGAAATGTCTGAATCAGTTAGAGGACAATCGTGAATCTTTCTCTCCCAAAGAGAGCTTAGCTGCCATTTAATATTCGCAGAGGCAGCCAGCTTTTTGCTTACTCGGGAGAACTCGCTCTTGCGTCTCAAATGTTGCCAACAGAAGGTATTAATTATTAAAAAACAAATTGCTAATGTTGTCTCTCTTCAGGCCCTCCGGCTTATAATTAATCTGTGCAGACATCTGGCCTGGGAAGTTTAGAGGCAGTTTATAGAAAAATACATACTTTTGGAAAAAGAGTTTAGTTCAGGGGTGTCGAACTCATTTGTTATGTGGGCCGGATCTGACATAAATGAGACCTTCTTGGGCCGGGCCATGTGCGTAATTAAATGTAATGCCAGGTAGCAGAGATATAAACTTTATAAAGGACACAAAGACAGGGTTTTTTTAGTTAAAATAAAAACATGGTTAAAACATTAGCACTCTTGCAATATTTTGTTTATTTAACAGTGTCTGTTAACTGACACCTCTCGCTCTGAATTATTGCATCAAAATGCCTGTCCTATTGCAGTCTTGAGTATGCTGTTCAGGTATGAGTCTGTAAGCTGCAAACCTACTTTTGAGTTATCGGCTTCACCATGAAATCTCATGCTCAGAGTTCTGAGTCTAGGACCCAGGATAAAACAGGAAATGGCTGAGTGATTAAGAGAGTCTGGTGAAGCAAGCTATGATGCAGCAGCAGAACTGGAAGCAGGAGATGGCCAGTTCCACTGCGGGCCTGATGGAAGCCCTCTGGGGGGCTGATCCGGCCCCCAGGCCGCATGTTTGACACCCCAGGTTTAGCTGTTCTTTCCTAAGCTAGCATCAGTGTGTATATTTAAAACACAGAACTGAATTAAGATAAGAGGTACAATTGGCATTGGGCTGATTTGCTCTACCCATTTAAATTTTACAAAAGTTCATTCACCTGTAATTGAAGCTGCCAGGTCAGCTTGGCGTATGGTTGGCACCCTTATACTCACAGATATCTAACAATTTGGAAAAACTCTAGGCTTGGGATATAGGGAATAAAGGTGTTTGTTGGAGACAATGGATCTCGGGTGATTTAGCACGCTTATCTCAGCTAATTGCTCCTTCCAACCTAGCAGTTTGAAAGCAAGAAATTGCAAGTAGGTACCACTTCAGTGGGAACGTAACAGCGTTCCATGCGCCTTGGTGTTTAGTCATGCTGGCCACATGACTACAGAAACGTCTTCGGACAGCGCTGGCTCTTCGGCTTTGAAACGGAGATGAGCACCGCAACCCTAGGGTCGGATTCGACTGGCTTTCGAGCAAGGGAACCTTTACCTTTTTTACTCAGCTAATTGGACGAGGGGATGACATTTGGTGTTCTGTCCATGTCCACGGCCAGTTCTCCATATATACAACTAAAATATTGTCTGTTTTCTGTTCTGGGACCAGGAGCTCTTGGAACCTCGGAAACCCCTCCACTGTTTTGCCTACTTCCATCCTTAGAAACCCTTCCTGCACAGCCCATCGGTATATATAACTTTCTAAGACACCAAACCAAACTTCATCTGGATTATATCCACTACCAGTGGAACCTAGAACTGCGTATTCCCAATTCAACTGACCCAATAGCAAGCTGCGCTATAAGCCATTAAATCCGCGTCTCTGGATTTAGTGGTTAAGAGCACGGACTCTTATCTGGGAGAACTGGGTTTGATTCCCCACTCCTCTACATGCAGCTGCTGGTGTGACCTTGGGTCAGTCATAAGTTCTTTTAGAGCTGTTCTCTCAAGGGCAGTTCTTTCAAGAGTTCTCTCAGCCCCACCTGCCTCTCAGGGTGTCTGTTGCGGGGAGGGGGGAAGGGATCGTAAGCCGCTCTTGAGACTCCTTTGGGTAGTACAGGGCGGGGTATAAATCCAATCTTTTCTTCTTCTGTTGAGTTTTCTCCCCTCCCCAAACTCCACCTTTCCCATGCTCTGCCCCCAAATCTCCAGGAGTTTCCCAACCCAATGTTGGCAACCCTAGCTTAAGAAAATGTGTTTGTGATAACATGTTCTCTTTGGCTCAGATCTCCGGGCACTTAAAAATTGTGTTAATGCATATGACGTAATTCTCAACATGCTTTGACACTGTTGAGTTTGTTCCAGTATTGCATGCAATGTTCCCTCTAATTTTTCTCCCCAACTGAGCGGTTCTTCACATCCAAAGCAGAGTGTAACTGCTGTAATCTTAAAATGAGCAATGGGCAGTGCAAGACCCTGCGTGGCTCCAGACTGTTGCCGAGCGGGGCCTCCTGTGTTAATGAACGGCCGCTCACGTGCACAGCTTACAGAGAATACTGATTGCATGCTAACGACAGTTGTTTTTGCTTTTCTTTTTTCAGTCTCCCAGAGTTAAAGAATCTTCTCAGAATTCAGAGGTAAATTGTTGCTCCAACTCTTCATAATTTTGTCTCGTTGTCACTTTGGGATTGTGTTTTTACGTTCTGCAAAGTACTTAGGTGCTTAGTTAACAAATAATGTAGCATTTTTAAATGCTGTAGGCAAAACAGCTTTTTATTGATATCCATTCCTAACCCGTTATTGCAGAATTAGCGGTAGTAATACTGGCGAGG